GGAGAACATGAGCAAGGAAGTCAGGACCACGAGGGGTGCACCCACCCACTGAGACAGTGGGGCTGATCTATTGGGAGCTCACCAAGGCCAGCTGGACTGTGACTGAAAAAGCATGGGATAAAACCGGATTCTCTGAACATGGCGAACAATGAGGGCTGATGAGAAGCCAAGGACAATGGCACAGGGTTTTGATCCTACTTCATGTTCTGGCTTTGTGGGAGCCTAGCCAATTTGGATATTCACCTTCCTAGACCTGGAAGGAGGGGGGGGAGGACCTTGGATTTTCCAAGGGGCAGGGAACCCTGACTGCTCTTCGGACTGGAGAGGGAGGAGGAGAAAAGTGGGGGGAAGAGGAGAGGGGCTGGAGGAAGGAAAGGGAAATGGGAGGCTGGGAGGAGGTGGAATTCTTTTTTCTTTTCAATAAAAAAATAAATAAAAATTATATAAATTCATGTTATCAATAATTATGTTTGTTTGGTTGCTTATAATTTCTTGTATCCAATTTCACAGGTACTTTGCATTAGTTCCTTATGTTTTTCTTTCTCTGATGAAATTCCTTTTGATAAATTATTCATTATATTGATATATGGATATCTTGGGGAAAAAATCCACTACATCTTGCCTTACAAAACATCTGTCAGATAGTTTAGTCCAGTAAGATAAAGACTGATGCCTCAGTGTTGCAGAATAAATTTGGGTGACTCTCCCTGCAGGCCATAGTCTCTTTAAATTCCATAGTTTTAAAAATTGTTTGTTTTGTACTTGCTGTTCATTCAGGTAATACATTCACCTGCTCAGGTCGTTGAAACATTTGAAGACTATATAGTTATTGTTTAACAAATTTCCTTGCTACCAAATTAAAAAAAATCATAAAAGTGATGTGATACTTAAAAAGCTTGAGAAATATGAAATACTACCATGTTGAACTGAGAAAATGACTTAGGAACCGATGGTATTTTTAGTTTGCAATACAAGTTATTATACAATGTGGGTTTTACACAAAATTTGTAAGCACCAGTATAGGGTGGATAATAGAATACATTCTACAATGTTGTCAAACACAGTTGGAATAGTTGTTATTAATGTAAGTCCTGATTTTGCTAATTTCCATGGACTCTGACACCTGTACATGTCAGCAGCAGCCTGCCTTGTCTAGACCAATGTACAGTGAGGCTTTGGTTATAGCCAGGTCCAACTAAGACATGAAATACAAATAGAACCTGACCGGTAAGAACCGGCACTGATAACACTTTTATAAGCTCTCCTGTCCACTGAATGGAGTGTGTGCATTCAAACTGAATATAAAATAAGAACTAACAAGGAAAGTAATCTTAATTCCAACAGGGGAGGCAAATCCTGTGGTAATCTTGGAGAGCTCAAACATAGCTGCTGATTCATTTCTCCCTCCTATGTAAATGTATTTTTTAGCACCAGCCGCCAAACTGAAGGTGAACAAGAGAATAAAATTTAATTTACTCCTAAATGTGGGTTAACTTTATGTGCACAAAAATATAATAATTTGATTACGTAGTAGGATTTATTATGACAATTTTTAGCATATATATGGTTTTAAAAGTAAAAGCAGAAATGAGTGTGAAATAAAATAATTGCAGCACTCAGGTATGAAATTCTAAACTATGGTGACAGAGTGTACACATGCATGCATATGTATGTATAAATATAATTTTGCATAGTCAATTTCTTATATGTACACATATATTAACTTATATAAATATTTGTATGTAATTGAGTTGCTTCATAGCATATTAGGAGAGAGATAGTTAAACTGAACTCCTTATACTATGAAGGATTATCAGCTTTTTCTTACTCAGATCCAAGTTGTGTGTTATTTCATTTATTTATTGGCCAAAGTCAAGACTTCAAGTGCAAAACTGTATATTCACAGACCATTTCAAAAATATGTTTACAGCTGCCAATATTGTGGAAAGAATCTGTTTTGGAAGTTTCTACATGCATTTATCATCATATAAGGGGAATCCTTCTGCTAATTTTTGTAATTTATATGGGATTGAATACTTGTGCTATAATTGCAGGTTAATCCTCAAATTAGCCAGAATAAAATTCTTCACTCTCATTAGATTCATGCCCACAAAGAGAAAATACTGAGAAACCTTCAGATATATTTTTGTCCTAGTGGCCAAAAATCAGGGAAGAAATCAGACAATGTGATATAAGCATAACACAAACAAACTTAATGGCTAGGAATCTAAGACTACAATGATGACCAGACTTACATAAAAATAAATTATTTTAAACTGCCATATTTAAAAAAATACTGAGACCTAATGAAATATTGAGCAACGTTGAGCCTGTGAGAAGCTTAAAGGCAGTAGGATGATGAGGTGTATGTTTCCTCTTCTATAGGTTATTGTACCTTCAGAGTCTTTGGTGACAGGTAGGATTGTGTGTTTATATGTTACTGTGTAATGTGAGAGGCCTGCTCATTGGGGTTTCCATCCCACCCGGTACCCCACAGCTGGCAAGTCTCAAAGAAAATCACACAGAGAATCTGCATTAACTATAAACTGATTGGCCCATTAGCTCAGTCTTAGCTCTTGCAGCTTATATTAACCCATTATTCTTATCTATGTTAGCCATGTGGCTCAGTACCTTTCACAGCTGGGTAGATCACATGTCACTTCTTCTGAGTCTGGCCAGGAATGGGGGAATGGGCTTCCTCCTTTCCAGCATTCTCCTGTTCTCATCTCTCCACTTCTACTTCCTGTCTGGTTGACCCGCCTATACTTCCTGCCTGGCCAATCAGGATTTTATTAAGACACATGATTGACAGAATACTGATAATCCTCCTGCACCACTCCCCCCCCCCCGCTTTTTTTAAACAAAGGAAAATGCCCATAGTCCATTTTTTGAGAATGTGGGCATAGTATTCCTAGCTACTTTTTGCTGTTTGGGGGCGCTGATAATCTTATGGGGACCTAAAAAAAATTATCATCAAGTCCTGACTGGAGTATCTTGTGAGTCTTGATCATCTCAGGCAGCAGTCTTGAATCTGTTCTGGTTGTAGAACTCAGACATCTGGACCATCTGTTCCTACCAGAGATTTCTCAGGTGGTCTTCCTTGATCAAATTGGATTTTTCTTAACTCAGAATGAATCCACAGCCTCTCATTTCCTGTAGAAACAAAAGCAAAATATCTTCTCCAAAGTAACATACCTTTGGACTTCAATTTTGAAGTCAAGGAATTTTCAGAATACCTCTCTTGGATTAATTCAGCAGCATTTATAAGCAAATATCTTTTAGCAGATGTTGCTCCTTCCTCAGCATTCAAACAATTCAAAGAGAGCATAATAGCATACAGTATTAAGATTCTCTGTGTATTTTTCTTTTTTACACAGCTTTACTTTAACCTCGATTTCTTTTATTTTTATTTTTACTTTTACTTTTTGAGACAGGTTCACTGTATATCTTTGTCCTGGAATAAAGAGTTATTCCTGTAGACCAGGCTGTCCTTGAGCTCACAGAGATCCCTCTGTCTCTGCCTCCCAGGCCTTAGGATTAAAGGTATGTTCTGCCACATCTTGAAGTCATAGAGGTCAATCTACCTCTGCCCATTGAAGTCTCAGAGGTCAATCTACCTCTGCCTCCCAAGTGTTGGGATTTAAGGTGTGTACCACCACACCCAACTACTCTCTTTTTTTCACTTTAAGAACTTTAACCTTTAGCCTACATATATTTTTAACAAACTGTAAATCATTTAGAGGTTTTCTTCAACTTTGAATCTTTCTTATCTATCTCTCTTTTTGTGACCACGTGAGTCTTTAATTTATCAGGCAATATGGGTAGGATTAAAGCTGTGGCTTTGATGGCTGGATCCAGCTCATTCCCTAGCTTTCAAGGATCATGCCACAGGTACTGGTCTAGCCATCTTTATTGTCACAACTCTATGGCATTTCAAGTCCCTGCCAGCAAGCAAGCTGTAGCAGTGCACTCAGACCACAATAAAAATGCTCTGGTAGTCAGGCCTGCCTGAAAGAGTTCGAGCTTGCCCTGGCAGGATGGTCCAGAAAGCTGGCATTTTAAACAGCACAGCTTTTTTCCTGCTAAATGGTTTAGGAGGGTCTTCTATCTATCTGTTGATTTCATTGGTTAATTAATAAAGAAAACTGCTTCGCCTGATAGGTCAGAACATAGGTAGTTGAGGAAGACAGAACAGAACTGTGGGAGGAAGAAAGCAGAGTCAGGTAGATGCTATGCTTCTCCTACCAAGACAGATGGTGGTTGGAATCTTCCTGGTAAGCCATCACTTCATGGTGCTACACAGATTATTAGAAATGGGTTAATCAAGATGTGAGAGTTAGCCAATAAGAGGCTAGAAATAACGGGCCAGGTAGTGTTTAAATGCATACAGTTTCCGTGTTATTATTTCTGAGGCTAAGCTAGCCATGTGGGAGCCGGGTGGGACAAAAAGCAAGCCTGCCCACAGCAACTTATATATTACTGTATAATATTTTCAATTACTTAGTTTTCATGAAAAAACTTCAATGTCATACCCATTCCCACAATGGAACTCAGAGAGGAGAAGAAAGGGCATGACTCCTCTTAACTCTGTCAGATTCTAAAACCTGAAGTGAATTATTTCCTTGAAGACAATGCAGTGTTCAAGACTTGGGCTTCCCACAGGTCAGGGAACCCTGATTGCTCTTCGAGCAGATGAGGGAGGGGGACTTGATCGGGGGAGGGGGAGGGAAATGGGAAGCGGTTGTGGGGACGAGGCAGAAATCCTTAATAAATAAATAAATTAAAAAAAAAAGACTGAGACAGTGGAGCCACAAGTTAAAAGAGAATCTTATGGTTCAGAAGCAAGAATTCACTTGCTGCACAGGAGAGAGTGAAAAGTGATTTACAACTGTAATACGGGGAATAAACCAGTACTTGACTTTTGCTGATATTCCCTGGGCTTTTTCTCATAGAGATGTCAAGAACAGTCTTCCTTGTGGGGGCCAATGTATATTCAGGTTTCGGTTATAAACATGAGCACCTGAGAGCTAGAATATAGCCTGAGCCTGACTAGTAACGACCAGATACGCTGAAAATTTAATTAGCCATCTTTGCCTCTGACTGAAGGACTGGGTGCATTCAATTGTTCCTGGGATATGAACCAATGAGGAGAATGTTCTCAATTCCACCAATAGGAACAAATCCTGTGGTAACCTTGGAGATCTGCATCAGAGCTGCTGACTCATTTCTCCCTCCCATCTTTGTGGTCTGGCAGAAAAAATCAAAGTGAAAATGGATGACAGAAAAAAATCAGTTTACCTAGGACCAGAATCCAATTATCAAAAGAGGAAATCATTGTGAGGTAAGTAGGAGATTATCACATATCCCCCTTATTGGGTCTGTGTCTTTCCTATCTACCGGAATTGCTTCATTTCGTCCTGCTGAGGGCTGATTGTCATACTGTGCTGCCGATTGCAGCTTACTGGTCTTACATTCAGAAATGGCATGTCAGATTCCCTAAACACACAGATTGGAGAATCAGACACTTGAAATTTTTCAGAAACCAGGTGCCAGGGGCTATTTCCCGACACAGCAATTATCTTACTGGGTCTTTCAATGGCACATAAAATCAGTATATCCCGGTTATTTATTATCAGGTATTGACTTTCTAAGTTAACATTCATTTCAGAAAATGCAGAATCCAAGCCCAACCCAGGAATCACAGATTTTAACGCTGAAGCAGTGGCTTCAGAGACTCGAGCACATTTCCTGCACCGCAAATAGAAATACGTGATCACAGCAAGAACATGAGAATTCTCACCAAATACTTGCTTTCCTAGGTTTGTATCGCTTCTATTTCTTGTAGGTCTCCGGGAAAGATTTCCTTTTCTGTGGTTGTTTATAGCCAGTCTACCTGACTGAATTCCAGCTAAAAGCTGGAATTCAGTCAGGAGCCTGACTGGTAAAATCCCTCATTGCAGATCTTTTTATGCCATCTGGGAACCAATGAGGAGAGAGAACACAAACCAAGGATTGGGAAGCGTAGGCGTGCATTTAACCCCATGATCTCATCAAGAGCCGATTATTCATCAGTGTCTCTTTCCTCCCGATGTGCTGTAAAAAGAAGCAGAGCAATTGACATGGGAATACAGGATAAAATGTAATTTACCCTGGGTTTTCCTCCAGTTAACAGCAGTAAACCGGCAAATATGACAGGTTTTCTGAGTGAGCTTGCAGCTGCTTTTTGCCTAGATTCTATCTGCACACATGGAACCCTCCATTCCTGTCTGGAGATTTCTGATTATGACTATGTGCACCCAAGTATGTCTGGTGTCTAATTCTTTGTGATATGTTTATATAAATATTTTATGCAATCAAATTATATTTAAATATGCTACATATAAAACAATAATACGTGTTATATATAAATATAATATATAATTAAAATCTTCCATGTAGTTAAATTATAATACATAATAAAGTTGATTAGAGTGTTGTACAAGGAAATATGTGGATTGTAGTAAGTACTGTAGACTTGAAATGCTCTTCCAAACAGATCCAGCTGTAATATAATAGCCCATAGTGTCTTAATGATAAAGAAATGATTTAAGATTAATTGAAATCAGGAAAAAAAATTAAATATATTTATAATGATGAGGCTGTAATGGGAATATCCACTGAAACACCTTACGTGAGCTAATGGGAGCCTAACAACTCTGGCCTGACAGTGAGGGAACCAACACAGTACCAACTAGAGCTCAGAATATAGGTGACAGCTATTTGGCTTGGAAATACTGTTAGCCACTGTCAGTAGAACAAGATCCCTATTGTTTGTTTTGGCCCTAGAGAACCCATTCTCTGGAAGGCTAAATAGATACCATTGGAACAAAATTAACATAAAATAAAATAATAACACTATAGTATATCATATAAAATAAAATAAGTACCTAATAAAATTACCTGTGTTAGTGATGAGTCTTTTAAGGTATCTGTTGAACCATACATAAAGAAAAAGATAACCTTTACATATAACTTAGGGTTAGTTAAATGTGATTTTGCATTTGAGCAATTACAAGCTGTAAACAGAAAAAAAAATGAGTTCAGGAATTTTACTCTTTACTAGGTTTTCTCTATCTTATGGGGAATGATTAAAGTCACAGTGTTTTTACTCTTTGAAACTGTGTTGCTGTGATTACTTAATTTCACAGAATGGAAGGGGCAAGCTGAATAAGAAATTGGGCCTGCTCATCAAAACCATATTTTATGGGAATTGTAAATCACAGCCCAGACTGAGGTAAAATATTAAGAATTAGCTGTTGAGGATACACTTCCATGTGTGTGTGGTTGTTCTTCAGTTTTTAAACATGAGCATTCAGGATGAAATTACTACTCAGCCAGTGAAAAAAGTAAGTATTAAATATAGAAATTGTAAGCTAAATATATATATATATATATAATTTAATATACACCCATCTTTTCCTGAATAGATTTTAATCATAAAGCTTGTCAAGCAGAGAGTAAGGATGGCAATTATTTATGTCTCTATAATCAAATCAATAAATTATAATTAAAAGGCTGTGTATATGAAAAACTCAAGTACAGGGTATGTAATATTCCTTTATACTGTGTAAATAAATGTCATTGTGATTGATTTAATAAAGATCCTGACTGGATTATTTCTAGGCAGGATAATGTTAAGTTTAAGAAACAGAAAAAGAAGTATTTGGAAAAATGAGAGGAGTCTCAGTATCAAGAGAATCAGTGGGAAGGAAATGTACTTTCTAGTCTGAGAAAAGTTATCAGTCCATAAGATAGCACATATATGACATATGATTAATTTAAAATGTACATGTTAGGTGGTAATAAGCCTGAGTTACTGTCTGAGAGTTTGTAATTAATGATTATTTTCAATGTGGTTATTATGAAACTGTATTTTGGGACACAAAACTCTGCCTACTAAGGGCATTCTGACTTGGGGCACTAATTATCATATAACAACTAAAAATACATTTAAAAGATTCTAAGCAATCAAAACATGGAGACAAATATGGCATCTGAATAACTTACCTTAGCTCATATATGATCAATGCTCATGGCAAAGAGAGGAATAGCTCTTTAAAAAAAAGTTTCTGAGCTGGTTGCTGGTGACTAACAGGAGTATGGCTCTATTAAGTGCCCCCCCCATTCAAACACTTAATAATGTTTATTAACTGAGGACTATATGCTGCTCAGGGTAAGCATGGACCCAATAATGTCCCAGAGGTGCAGTGATAATTATGGCTCCCTGATACCTGAGCCATGAACCTAGTCTCTCAGGAAACCAAGGGCAAGGAGCCAGTCACGTACACCATGCAACAACACATGCTGTACTCTGAGTAATAGTAAACTGCAATTAACACAGGAGTTTAAGACTGGTCTCACCTGATCAAATACTCTAAACAGACTGCTGTGTGTTTATAAATATACATGTATCACTGTCTCTGCATATCTTTTCTTGGTTCTTTGTAAGTTTATTGTAAAATTAAATGGGATAATATTTGAGTCACTGGTAAGCTGGGATTTATGTAATTGCTTATTTTTATTTTGTTTATTCACTTTAAATTCTAAACACAGTTCTTTACCCAGTTTTCTTACCATACGCTTGCCTCCCCACAGCCCATCTTTCATCAATTTCTCCCAAAGGTGTGCCTCCCATAGAGAATCAACATAGCCTGGGATATTAAGCTGAGGCATTTCCAAAACACTACCAAAGGAAGGCTGAGTTAGCCATGCCAACTTATGGAATTGTCTCCAAAATATATAACACATATAAAACCACCAAATATATAAAACAAATATAAAACCACCAAAAAAAAAACCTGGACACCTGTTATGGGTCCCTCAAATAGAGCAAGCTATACTCCTCTCTTGTCACATTCAGATCGCCTAGATCAATAGAATAGAAGCTTCCCAGCTGGTGCTGTAGTGTTCATGATTCCTATAATCTTGGTTCTTTTCTCCATAGATATTTTATACCAGATGGCTTCTCAGAGGAGATAATTGGGTAGGCAGTTAAAACTCTGAGTAAGTCTGTTATCAAATCATTTTTGTAAAGATATAATATGAAAAACAAGGCTAATTCCCAAAACTACGTGAATGGATGCATAAGGTAAATCACATAAGCCGTCCATAATACCATTCATAGTGTAAGCAAACTGGTTATTAAATTCTTGAATAACATTATTATCTGTAATCCTATAACTTTCAAATTTTACACTTTACTTACCTGTCCTAAGCAATTAGAGTGAATTGAAGTAGGTGTACTAATCTTTATTGGCCAGGAGGTGTCGGCAGTTGCAGCCAGCTGACAGACAGACTGAGCAGCCAGAGCTCAGGCTGCTCTTTCAGAGCTTCTTCAGAGCTGCTGGTTTATTTCTCCCTCCCATCTAAACGTGTGCTGTGGCAGAAACAACAAAAGGGCAAGTAGATGACAGGTAAAATCTTATTTAGCTTAAACGTTTATTCTAATTATCAGAGAAGAATACCATCCTGTGAAAACTAGAGGGTGATCCTCTATCCAGCTACTTACCCCTCCATCCTGGCTATTTATGTGGAAGCCTCCCACTCTTCCTGCTATGGCTGATTGTAATTTTGTGCTTCCAGTTGCTTGTTGTTGGCATGACATTCAGAAATTCCATGCATATTCCATAAACAAACTGATTAGGGGATATGACACTTGAAATTTTCAGGGAGACCCCAGTGGCTATGTGAGACTACTGCCCAACTTAGCCATTTTCTCAAGAAAATCTCTGATTGTATATTTTATCAGTACATCTCCTAATTCTGTCAGGTATTGATTCCCAAAATTAATCTTCCTTGTAGTTATTGCAGAACCAAAATTGGGCAAGAAATTGCAGATATAAATCCTGAAGCATTTGCTTTAGAGACACAAATACATTTCCTCTACTGCAAAGAGAATCTGGTTACTATTAGCGGAAAAATGAAAAATTCCACATATTCCTTTCCTTCCCTATGCTTCTATTGCCTCTGTCACCTGAAGGTCTCCGGGATAGAATTTCTTGTTTAGGTTTGCTTGTAACCAAGCTTTGACTAAATCCAGCTAACAGCTGGATTTTAGCCAGCAGCCTGACTGACAAAATGCTACAGTACAGACTTTTTTTTAAAAAATCTGATTGTCTTATATTGGAGGAGGGCATGCATTCACACACAGTTGCTTTAGGTAGCACAAAGAACAGAGTTCTCAAACAAAGGATTAGAAAGCACAGGTCTGAACTTTACACGGAGAACTTCACCAGAGATGCCAATTCATCTTTGTCTCCCTCCTCTCTGAGTGTGGTAAAATGGGTAGGATAATTGAATGTGGAACCCAATAGAAAATATTTTTTTAACCTATGCTCAGCTTCAAGTGATCATTAGAGAAAACTATGTAATACTGAAATTTGGCTGAGTGAGTTTCAGGCTGCCTTTGCCTAGATTTGAGCTGTATACATGAAAGCCTTCATTCCTGTCTGAACTTTTCTGATTGTGACTCTGTACTCTGAAATACATCTCACTGCTGAAAGAACAGACAGACCCCTGTCTCGCCATCTGGAGAGCTCCTTCCTAATCAGAAACCTCCACAGTTTGGTGGCCCCTTCGCTTTGAGAGACAGTCACCCTTGGCCAAGTCACCAGCCCAGGCAGAAGGTGGTAGGGACCCAGATCTCTGCAAGGACCCTATGTCCTTGGATACTGTTGTTGTTTGGACAGCCTCGCTCACTCCGAGCTAGCCTCTTTGCTGTGTAGCCGTGATTGACCTTCAATCTTGATTTTTCCACCTTCGCCTCCTGCGTGTTGCAATTGCAGATGTGTGCCATTTTGCCCCGTTTGTGTGCTACTGGGATTGAACCTAGAGCTTCGTGCATGTTAGACTGTCAGCTGAGCCACATATCTGAATATTACTTTAATTATGTAAAGATATGTTCCATTTGTTTATTTTACGGAATATTACCTTAACTAGGAAAAAAAAATATAAGAGGTAGCTAGAAATGTATCTGAGCTGTTATCCAAACAGTATTGTAATGACTATAAATTTTTTTGTGATTACTTGGGTCTGGGTGTATGGGAAACCTAAGGCAATCTCTGCTTTCATCATAGTGCCTAATGTTTGGCCATGTCCATCAACAT